GTAAAATTGTGGATGTGTAACCGATGTGATTCTGCAATCTGCCTTTGGGGTAAAATTGGGAGTTCATAACCCACTTCAATCTAATGTATGAAATATGATATGTCAAGAGCTTTGTAATGTTGTGAACAACCAATAAAAAAAAAATTATTCTTTGAGGACTCCAGATCTAGAATGAGAATTCCTAATTACAGGGAAACAATATTCTGCAAAACCCAAGGGCAACAAGCCAAAATAAATATATCAATTTGAATTCACATCAACTATTGGTATATGGACATTAAGCCTTCTAAAAAAGGGTCCCCAAACTATAAGTTCAAGGAAGGATTTTACTAAACATATTTCATTTCTTCAAAATTCTCATAATAGTTTCTAGTTACAAGAATAAAACAAGTTACAGTTCAGAATGTGATATTTATGTATGTAGTATAACTGAGTGACATCTGAATTCAATTTATGGCTTAATGATTTTTTTTTCTTTTGTGTCTAAAGAGCAAATAAATTAGCTCCTGTTTTCATAGAATGGACTCACTTCTGCTTCTGCTAACTAAGATATGAATGTTCAAGGTTGCTCAAGAAAGAATATTTCATTCTCATTAAATGTTAAATGTTAAGGGTTGGGGATGTGGCTTAATGATGGAGCACTGGTGTAGTAGGAAAGAGGCCCTGGGTTCATCTTCGCACCATTAAAAAAAAAAAAAAAGTTTTGATTTATCTATCTGAACAGACTTAACCTGCACTCTTTAAATTTTCTTCAGTTAGGGGGTCTCCTTGTATTGTCCAGGCTAGCCTCAAATCCTGGGCTCAAGTGATTCTCTCCAGTAGCTGGGACTATAGGCATACATTACCACACCTGGCTTTACCTGTACTTATACAAAAGATTTCCTGCATCTCTCAAATAGATGTGATTCTCCCTCTTCAGGATTTCTAAAAATGTGGTTTGAGCTTTTTTATGACACTTGTGAAGAACTACTGTGCCATTCTTTTACTGGAATATAAATTCCTTTAGGGAAAAAACTGGGATGGGATTCACTAATTTCCTAGTATATTTTATATACCTATTAGATTCTGATAAATGTATTGAGCAGCTCAGGAGGCTGAGAGGAGGATGACGAGTTCAAAGCCAGCCTCAGCAAAATCGGGTCACTAAGCAACTCAGTGAGAACTTGTCTCTAAATACAATGGCTGAGTGCCCCTGAGTTCAATCCATAGTACCACTCCCCCAAGATGTTATTGAATGCTTTTATCCACACCCTGAACAATGTGAAAATAATGTATCATCACTTAAAAACAAGTGGTTTTCATGAAGTATAATAGTTATCCCCTTATTTAATAGTTCAAAACAGAATGATCAACTGAATGCAGTGATGCATACCTGTAATCCCAGTGAATTGGAACACAGAAAACAGAAGGATCTCAAGGTTGAGGCCAGCCTTGACAGCCTAATGAAACTCTGTCTCAAAATAAAATGGTTGGGGATATAGGCCCCAGGGTTCATTTCTCAGTAAAACACAAGAGAAAGGGAGATATGGATGGATGGAGGGATAGTGTTTAAAGAAAATCCAGTGTTCTGTAATTCTTTGAGCTTATTCTATGTTCATGATTCTATCATGGGGATAAGGAGATAGGGATGGGGATAGTATTTTTTCTTTTTTTGAGACATTGGGGATTACATTGCACATGCTAGGCAGGTATTCTACCACTTTGCCTGCACTTTAACAAATTATTTTTTTTTTGGAGACAGAGTCTCATTAAATTACCCAGGCTGTCCTCAAACTTGGTTATCTCTTGCCTCAGTTTCAGCTGAAATTTCAAGCCTATTCCACTGCACCTGGCTACCATTTGCATTTCTAACAAGTTCCCAGGTGCTAATGTAGCTGTTTTCATGTACATGTGTGCTAATGCACACATTCTGGGAATCCTGTGCCATAGTAACCTGATTGTGCTTTAGTATTCTTCAAAAGTTCATGGCAAATTCTGTTCTGCTGGGAACAGAAATTGGATATTACTTTAAGGAGGCCTATGACTTTCCAGAACTATCAATTGAAAGCAACATATATACATGGAAATTCAATTCTAAAAATTTTCTCACTAGGTAGGTGTGACTAAGATGAATTAATTTCTATTCAAACATATTTTCTCTTCAATGAAAAAAATCATCATAAACATGGCCCTAATTAATAAAGTAATTAATTCATTAATAAATATGAGTGAATAGTTCTAGGGCTATGGGATACCGTGAGTGGCCAAAACAAAGTTTCTATCCTCATGGCTTATATTCTTCTATATTATCTGAATACTTCCTATATTACTGGAAAAAGTCTTAGTGATTCTATCCAAAAGACTGCTAAACAAGCCTGGGAGAGAAGACAGTTCAGCACATACAGCTTCAGAGAACTAAGGTCAGGTTGCAAAAGAGAATAATTCTTTTTTTCTCATGTAAGCAGAGGTAAAGTGCTACAATTATTGTTTCAACCTAATTTTATGCCTCAGTGGTATATATTCAACAGATTGGATCCCTCTGATTATCAAATAGGAAAGAGAATTTGATTATAATTATAAAACTAGAGAAAATATTCTCAAATTAATCAGGCAAGTTTCAACTTGAATCTGACAACACAACATGAAGTAAATTCTCTTTGAGTTTCAGTAAAATGTGTGATAAAAACTAAATTATCATATTTAAGCCTAAACAGAAGAAAATAATTTTGAGTTCATTTGAAAGATGTATCAGCTTTACTGCAATATAAGTAATATACCAAAAAGCAAATGTGTTGTAAATACAAAATTCAGCAAGTTTAAGTAAATTTGCAGATTTGTACAACCATCCACACAGTCCAACTGTGGAACATTTATAACCACAAATATCTCTAAGTCCATTTGCAGTTATTCCAGATTCTTACCCTTTGGAAATTTCATATAAATGGATTGTACAGTATGTGGTCTTTTATATTTAACTTCCACCAGCATGTTTTTAGGTTCATTCATATTGTAACATGTATCAGTGTTTAGATATTTTTAAATTGCCAAACAACATTCTATTGATGGATAAAACATTATTTATTAATTTGCTAGTTGAGACATTCGATAAATTTAACAATAAATGTCATACACAATAGCTCTTGATTTTCTTTACAAGTAAGCACCATTCTAATTTATTCTGTCTCCATGACTTTGATTACTCTAGTACATACTAGTAGAATCACAGTATTTTCCTTTCATGATTGGCTTATTTCACCTATCATAATGTCCATACTGTTTTTTGTGTCAGAATTTTCTTCCTTCCTAAGGCCAAGTAATATTTCATTGTATGTATACATACCACATTTTGCTTATCCATTCATTTGCCAATGAACATTTGGGTTGTTACCACCCTTTGATTGTTGTGTTGTTTTGATTGTGATTGCTGATTAACAGTGTACTGCATTTTCAAGTGCTCCCCTGCTTTAAATTCTTTTGCATATACACTCAGAAGTGGAAATAACTGGATCATATGGCAATTATTCTGTATTTATTTAGGTACCAGGGATTGGATTCAGGGGCATTTGACCATTGAGCCACATCCCCAGAACTATTTTGTATTATTTTTAGATACAGGGTCTCACTGAGTTGCTTAGTGTCTCGCTTTTGCTGAGGCGGGCTTTTAACTTGCCATTCTTCTGTCTCAGCCTCCAAAGCCACTGGGATTACAGGTGTGTGCCACCATACCCAGTTTGTGTTTAATGTTTTTGATTAACCATGTAACTAGTAATTACTAGTACCATGTACAGTAAGTGGCTATTCTTTTTTTGCGAATTGATATTAAAGGTTTTATTTTTGAACTCTTAATTCAATTCATCCTTGTGCCATGATCACAATTACTTAATTACTTTATAATGAGCTTATATATTTATTTTTGGCAGTTCTGGGGACTGATCTCAAGGCCTTACATATGCTAGGAAAATACTGAGTTATATCCCCAGCCCTTTAAATTTTATTTAGAGACAGGGTCTCAGCTAAATTGACAGTATACTGCGTTGGCTTTGAACTGCAATCCTCCTGCCTCAGCTTCCCAAGTAGTTAGGAGTATAGGTATGTTATCACTAATCCCGGTCATAATGAGTTTTAAATTGGGAAGTCTAAGACCTTCAATTTTCTTCTTTCTTTTTCAAGAATATTTTGGTTTTTCTGAGTCTCCTACATTCCCATATCAATTTTATAACTGGTTTGTCAATTTTGGCAAAAAACCTTGCTGTAATTTTTATGGGAATAGTGTTGAAGTCTGTAAGTCATGCTAGGTGTGATGGTACATGCCTAGAATCCCAGTTGCTCAGGAGGCTGAGGCCCTGAGCAATTCAGTGAGACTCTGTCTCTATTTTATTTATATTTATAAAAAAGGGTGGGGATATATCATTTAGTGGTTAAACACCCCAGGGTTCAATCCCCGGTACCAAAAAAAGAAAAAAAAATCTGTATATCAATTTAAGGAAGACTGCCATTTAATAGTAGAGCCTTTAACCCATGAATGTGGAATTTCATCTTCAAGTTCTGTTAGCAAGGCTTAAAGTTTTCAATGTGTCTTACTTTTGTCAGATTTATTCTGAAACATTTTCTTTCTTTTTTGAGACAGGTCTCACAATGTTACCCAGAATGGTCTAGAACTATGGGCTCAAGAGATCCTTCTATCTCAGACTCTAAAGCAGCAGAAAGTACAGGCAAGTGCTACCATACCTGTCCACTGTTTTAATTCTTTTTCATTCTACTGTAACTGGAACTGTTTTGTTTTTTGTGGTGCTGGGGATTGAACCCAGGGCCTTATGCATGAAAGGCAAGCACTCTACCAACTAAGCTATATCCCCAGCCTCTGAAACTGTTTTTTGAATTTCTTTGATAATATATAGGAACACAGGGACTGGGGTTGTGGCTCAGTGGTAACTCGCTTGCCTAGCATGCAAGAGGCACTGGGTTCGATTCTCAGCACCACATAACAAATAAATAAAATAAAGGTCCATCAACAACTTAAAAAAAAAATATATATATATATATAGGAACACAATTAATTTTTGCATATTGACATGGTATCCCACAACCTTGCTGAACTTTTTTTTTTCTAGTTCTAGTTTTTGTGTGGATTCCTTAAGATTTTCTACATACAGTCATCATGTCATCAACAAATAGACAGTTTTACTTTTTCCATTCCAAAACTGGATGCCTTTTATTTCATTTTCTTATCTGACTGCATTGGCAAGGACCTACCTACCACCTTTTTCCTGACATTAAGAGGACAGCATTCAAAATCTCACTGTTAAGTATGATGCCAGTAATAGATTTTTCATAGACATCTATTATGATTTAGATCTGAGATGCCCCACAAAAGCTCATATGTGAGACGATGCAAGAATACACAGACACATCAGATTATGAGCTTTAACCCAATCAGTGTGTCAACCCAGTGATATAGATCAACTGAGTGGTAATTATAGGCAGGTTAGGTGTGGCTGGAGGAGATGAGCCAGTGGAAGTGTATTCTGGGGTTCACATTATCCCTGTTGGGCAGAGCACTCGGCTTCCTGATTGCTATGCCCTGAACTATTTTTATCCTCCACACCCTTCTGCTGTGATGTTCTGCCTAACCTTCTGCCCAGAGTAACTGAAATAGACATCTATGTATGGACTGAGACCTCTGGAACTGTGAACCAGATAAACTTTTTCTCCTCTTATTCTTTTTTTTTTTTTTTTTAATATTTATTTATTTATTATTTTTAGTTCTCGGCGGACACAACATCTTTGTTGGTATGTGGTGCTGAGGATCGAACCCGGGCCGCACGCATGCCAGGCGAGCGCGCTACCGCTTGAGCCACATCCCCAGCCCTCTCCTCTTATTCTTATTGTTGGGTCTTTTGGCACAGCAACAAAAAAGTTGATGAAAATAACAACCTTCACCAAGGCCTTGAACTCATTATTGACACTGAAAGTACCATCTATTATTGAAAGTGAGAGTGATATTGGTCCCCAAATATTGTTGAATTGTCCATTTCTTTTTCTTTCAATTACTTCAGTTTTTGTTTCACTTATTCTGGTGTTCTGCTGTTAGGTGTGTATATTTTTAAGATATTTTTTTTTTTATTGCTGGTGAACTGACCTTTTAATTATAAAATGTCCCTCTTTATCAGTATTATTATTTTTTTGTCTTAAAATTTATTTTGTCTGGGCTGGGGATGTGGCTCAAGCAGTAGCGCGCTCGCCTGGCATACGTGTGGCCTGGGTTCGATCCTCAGCACCACATACCAACAAAGATGTTGTGTCCGCTGAGAAATAAATAAATAAATATTAAAAAATTCTCTCTCTCTCCTCTCTCTCTCTCTCTTAAAAAAAAAAATTTATTTTGTCTGATATAACTATTCATCCTCCTTATGGTGACTGTTTGCATGTGACATCTTTTTCTATCCTTTTACTTTCAACCTATTTGTCTTTGAATTTTGAAGTGTTTCTTTGGAAGTCAGTATGTAGTTGGATTTATTTTTATTTATTATTATTTTTTAAATTTATTTTTTAGTTATAGTTGGACACAATGCCTTTATTTCACTTATTTATTTTTATGTGGTGCTGAGGAGCGAACCCAGGGTTCTGCACGTGCCAGGCGAGCACTCTACCGCTGAGCCACAACCCCAGACCCATAAATTTATTTTTTATCCAGTCTGACAGTGATTAATACATTGACTAAATAATGCCTCCACCCCCTTTTCCTTTTACTACAGAAGACCATTCTTTTGAACCATATACATAATTTGGGATGTGAAGTAACACAAGAAATATTCTTTAGCCAAACTAACACTGGCAATCACCAGTGTTAGTTTTAGTTTTTCTGAGTCTCCTACATTCTCATATCAATTTTATAACTGGTTTGTCAATTTTGGCAAAAAAGCTTGCTGAAATTTTTATGGGAATAGTGTTGAAATCTGTAAGTCATGCTAGGTGTGATGGTACATGCCTGTAATACCAGTTGCTCAGGAGGCTGAGGCCCTGAGCAATTCAGTGAGACTCTGCACAGTGACAAGTGCAGCCATATATTTTCTAGTTTAATAAATAACCTACCTCTCAGCCACTGCTAGCAGTCGTTCTGGCCTAAAGGTACCCTCAGTGTCGATGTACATGGCCTTTCCTTCACCTCCACCCCGGTCAATGGGAAGCTAAAGAGGAAAACCAAAAAACAACAGTGGAAATAATTGATATTTCTGATACAGGTGGACCAAGTTCCCCATGACAGGTCTATAATTCCTCCTACTCCCGATAAAGCAGAGAAGAAAAATAAAATCTCTAAAATGATAAGAGGCAGGAAGAAGTCATTTCCTTTGGATGGAAACACAGTTGGTATTAGACATGAAGCTCTCATATTATGTCTAATAGCACACAAAGCTAGAATCTTGTCAGAGATAGATTGCTCAGAAATATAGTTCAAAGTAGGTGAAAAAATTTGACTGCATACCAATAGAAGATGTATTAGTTAATTAGTACAAATAATTAGAAGATCATTTACCCATTTAGGTCTAATTAACAAGGGATCCTAATCCAATCCCCAATTAATCTTAGCATCAGAACAAATTTATACTTCACTTTTTAAAAAATTTTTTAATATTTATTTTTTAGTTTTTGGTGGACACATCTTTGTTTGTATGTGGTGCTGAGGATCGAACCCGGGCCGCACGCATGCCAGGTGAGCGTGCTACCACTTGAGCCACATCCCTAGCCCCTATACTTCACTTTTTAAAAGAACTTCTTTTTTTGTAGTTGTAGATAGACAGAATGCCTTTGTTTGTTTATTTATTTATTTTTTTGTGGTATTGGGGATCAAACCCAGGGCCTGTACATGTGAGGCAAGCATTCTACTAACAGAACTATATTCCCAGCCCCTATTTGTTTATTTTTATGTGATGCTAAGGATGGAACCCAGTGCTTCACACATGGTAGGCAAGTGCTCTGCCACTGAGCCACAGCCCTAGCCCTATACTTCACTTTATTGAGCAGAGTTCATTTCAAAGGGCTACTGAAGGGGCTTGTCAATGGCCCAGAAGCATCCATAGAAAGTTTAAAATATAAGCAAGAGACATGGTATTTGCTGCAATAGTATATATAGGTGTTAAAAGTGAACAAAGTGAAAAAGGAAAACAATAGTTTGTTATAGTAAGTAGGGAGGAGGGAAGGGAAAAAAAAGAAAAAAAAAAAAAAAAAAAAAAGCAAAATGCTTAGCATGCATGAAGCCCTGAATTTAATTCCCAGCCTCAAAACCTAAAGAACCTAACACACAAAAAACTCCAAATCCCCAAACCTCAAAATCATACACACACACCCAATGAATCAAACAAAAGAGGCAAGAAAAGAAAGGAACACAGAATATTATGAAAACAGTCTCATAGGCCACAAGGAAAACTCTATTTTAGACTACCCATCCCATGTCAGACACCTTTAAGTTAATTCTACAAATTTTATGTGAATGATGCTTTAAGGATAGTTTCCAAACTAGAAATCTATTTTGGACCCAAAAGTCCCATTTGGATTTTGAGGAAAATCCTTTAGAACATTTTACATTCAGGGGCTGGCAAATACCCTATGCTAATCTTAGAAAAAACTTTTTTCTTTATCCATTTTTCTATCGACAGGCATCTGGGCTGTATCCATAATTTAGCTATTATGAATTTTGCTGCTATAAACACTGATATGGCTGGGATTAAATAAAGTCATGTAAATCATTTAAATAGTACTTGATGTACAGAAAAGTACTTTGAAGATATGATTTCCCCAAATTTTAGGGCACTGATTTTGTTGTATACTCTACTGTGGAAGGCTTTGTTAATTTAGAAAGAGAATAATTATATTACTATTTGGAAAGTTGGAAGATAAAAATTTTTTATATCATGTGAATGTATGCAAGGAACAAAAGACATGTATAAAACAAAAGGAGGGCCTTGACAGAGGTTAAAAATGTAGAACCAATGGCCAACAGGATCAAAGTAGAAGCTTTTTGAAGTTTGTGGAGAGGAGGAAATCTGGATACTCTGGGGCTAAGTCTCCAGGATATAGATGAATGATTTTCCCTTTCTCTCACTTTCTGATATTGTGAATGCTATCATAAGAAAATTCTTTTGCAACTGGGTGGACCTCCTTAGACAGAAGGGAGGCCATAGATAACTAGGCACAGATAGGCAGATTGATAACAAGGAAACAGAGAAGGTGTCAGATATAATTGAGTCAGTGGTAACCTGGAGCAGATGCAGATCAACTACAGGCTATGTTCTCCAACTTGCCCTATTAGTGCGACCACAGCCATCTTGTGTTATTGGGCTACAGCACAATATTTTTAGCTGTTTTTAAATAACTGCTTAGTATCATAATTTAACTCTTCTTCCTATGCATGTTGTTTCTCATTTTTACCATTTTAATGGTAAAAAAATTCTTTGTATATTTACTCTTTGTATATTTCTGTGAAAGAAAATATACACACACACACATAAGAAAGGTAAATGATAAAAAACTATAAACTATATATATATTTTTTGGTACCAGGGAATTGAACCCAGATGTGCTTAACCACTGAGTCACATCCTTGGTTCTTTTTAAATTTTTTGTTTTAAGACAGGGCCTCATTATGTTTCGAGGCTGGCCTTGAACTTGCCAGCCTCCCAAACCACTGGGATTACAGGTGTGCTCCACTATGTCTAGTGAGCATATACTTTTTTTTTTTTTTATTGGTTGTTCAAAACCTTACACGGCTCTTGACATATCATATTTCAGACATTAGTTTCAAGTGAGTTATGAACTCCCATTTTTAAGAGCATATACTTTTAAACTTAATACATATGTTAAATTATTTTTTCAGAATTTTAAAAATTGTTTTGTGGTTGTAGATGGACAGAATGCCTGTATTTTATTTGTTTATTTTTATGTGATGCTAAGAATAGAACCCAGTGCCCCAGACACGTGAAGCAAGTACTCTGCCACTGAGCTACAGCCCCAACCTATCTTTTCAGAATTTTTAAATTAGTCTAGTACTCTGAACAAATATGGAGTGTATTTTTATATTTTAACTGTAGCTCTCAACTTTATATAATTTCAGTGTTAGACATCCAATTCTTAGCAAGTTTTCACTTCATTAAGTTGAGAAAATCTGAACAGTGAGAACAAAGAATGTTTAGATATAAGCAGTAATCTAACATCCTCTCTATACCCCTGGTCCTAGCTCTTAGACTAGTTAAGTGTAATCCTTTCAACTTTTAACAAATTAACATTCTTTTTCTCTGAAAAAAGATCAAAGATCTATAGTTGCTCAGCCACCTGTGAATTTTTAAAAAATATTTTTAGTTGTAGATGGACAAATAGTTTTATTTTATTTATTTTTATGTGGTGCTGAGTACTGAACCCAGTGCCTCATACATTCTAGACAAGTGCTCTACCACTGAGCTACAGCCCTAGCCCTGAATGTTATATTTATAAAGAGACTACATTTACCTGAGACCTTTGCTTCAGTTTATAGTCAACAGGCAATATATGACAACTTAATAAACATTCCCAGGTTAGGACTTTATTTGTAGAACTTCAGAGCATTAGCATATGTTTAATTGCCATGGCAATGATGAACATTATATACTGTGTAAATATTTATTTTACATAAATCCCTTTCAAAACAACATGAGGGGATTGGAGATGTAGCTCAACAGTAGAGCACTTCTTTAACACAAGGAAGCTCTGGGTTTGATCCCCAGCATGACAAAAATCAAAGCAGTTGTTAACATAGGTAAAACATTTCTATTTAAAAAGGTCACACAGGGCTGGGGATGTGGCTCAAGCGATAGCACGCTCGCCTGGCATGCCTGTGGCCACGGTTTGATCCTCAGCACCACGTACAAACAAAGATGTTGTGTCCGCTAAAACTAAAAAATAAATATTAAAAAAATTCTCTCTCTTTAAAAATAAATAAATAAATAAAAAGGTCACACAAGGGGTTGGGGTTACAGCTCAGCGGTAGAGCACTTGCCTAGAACTTGTGAGGTATTGGGTTTGATCCTCAGCACCACGTACAAACAAAGATGTTGTGTCCGCTAAAACTAAAAAATAAATATTAAAAAAATTCTCTCTCTTTAAAAATAAATAAATAAATAAAAAGGTCACACAAGGGGTTGGGGTTACAGCTCAGCGGTAGAGCACTTGCCTAGAACTTGTGAGGTATTGGGTTTGATCCTCAGCACCACATAAAAAAATAAATAAAGATATTAATGTCCATCTTTTTTTAAAAAAATCTTAAAATAAATAAATAAATGAATAAATAAAAGGCCACACATCATGTTCAATGACCCAATTAAGGTTAAATCCCCTTCCAACCACTATGCTAGGTATCAAACCCAGGGCCTCACATATGCTAGTCAAGTCTTCTACCACTGAGCTACATCCCAAAAGGGTAATACAGTTTTTGTTTTTTTTTATTTGTTTGTTTGTTTGAGTTCAGAGGCCCTTTACCACTGAGAGCTACATTCTTACCCCTTTTTCCTTAAGCAATATCTTAAATAGTGCTCTTCTACTTTAGCTATCAAATTTCTAATGGTGCTCAAGCAAGTTTTATAGCTTACTACCACTCTCCTCAATATTTTGTTATCTTCAAAGTTCTTTCTTTCTTCTTCAAACTCCTTCTTTCTCAGAATTATTCATGAGGAGGGCCAACAACGACACAGATGTACTTGATATTGAAATTCTAACTTGGCTGTCTCATAAGACATATGGTGATATTTTGGTTTGCAAAGAAAAGATCAGTGGAGAGGGCTAGGTTGTATCTCAGTGGTAGAGTGCTTGCCTAGCATATGTAAGCACTGGATTCGATCCTCAGTACCACACACAAAAAAAATAAATTGGGGGCTGGGGATATAGCTCACTCAGTAGAATGCTTGCCTCACATGCACAAGGCCCTGGGTTGAATCCCCAACACCACTAAATAAACAAATAAATAAATAAATGGCACTGTACCCATCTGCAACTTAAAATAAATAAATAAATGGAAGATCAGTGGAGCAATCAAAGAAGCAATAAAATGTAAGTGAGAAAGGTAAATGATAGAAAAACAAAACTATCAAGCTGGTTTGCTTGATGGTAGATAAACTTATTCATAAAGAAACAGAATATTCTTCTACCTTAACAAACAGCATTCATCATCTCAAGAAAATGGTGGGCCCATGTCAGGGCATGGTGAAGCATGCCTGTAATGCCAATGACATGGGAGGTCAAAGCAGGAGGATTTCAAGTTCAAGGCCAGACTCAGCAACTTAGTGAGACAGACTGTCTCAAAATAAAAAGGACTGGGAATGTAGCTCAGTGGTTAAGTGCTCGAGTTCAATCCTCAGTATTTTTTTTTTTTTCAATCCTCAGTATTGTAAACAAAATAACAAGAAATAATTTTTCTTTGAAATATCAAGAATGATGGTAAAGTCTCAAAAAATTTTGATGCAAGAATTGGTTCATAAGAATAGTCCAGATTCTATGAACCTGGACTGACCCACTCCCAGGAATTATATCCTTAAAGCCAGAGAATGTGAAGATGACCTATTCAGAAAAGAAAAAAGGCACCCACTAAATACTGTTTGACACTAACCAGGAAGTTTGTTAGCTTTCTCTTCTATATTCTACACTCTCTTGTAGATATTTCATTTTCAGAGATTCCACTGTTACTTCTGTATATGACTTGATTCCATATTCATCAATACTGGTAGATAAAATGGGTACAATGGTACGTGCCTGCAATCCCAGTTGCTTAGAAAACTGAGGTAAAGGATCACTTGAATTCAGGAGTTCAAAGCCTGCCTAGGCATTGTATTGAAGACCCTGTCTCATATATTAAGAAACCTCTGCTAGATATTTTCACTTGGGTTTTTTTTTTGGTCACCACCAACCCATTGTCTCTAAACTTGAACTCATATTTCCATAAAACTCTCCAGTTAGATGCTTTTAATAATCTTAGATCAAATATCCTCAGCTCTAACTTTTCAACAGGTTGCTACCAGAATATTTCTCCAAGTTTTATTTTCCTGTTGAAAATTTTGAAATATTCCCTACTCTTTACAGAACCAAGTTTAAACTTCACTGGAAGTTGGTGTTGGTGCTGAGGATTGAACCTAGACCTTATGCATGCTAAGCACATACTCTACCACCAAGCTATGTCCCTAGCCCAATTTTATACTTTGTATCTACACTGAAGACCTTGATTTATGATATGATCTTGATTTCTTTTCTCCTCTCCTAAGTACTTTAATTTAAGACAAGGGGTCTCATTATATTACCCAGGCTGGCTTTAATTTGTCATCTGACTGCCTCAGCCTCCCCAGTAGCTGGGATAACAGGCATGTGCCACCAAGCCCCATTTTGATATATCTTTTTAAGGTTCATATCCTACAATTTTCTACCTAACTGCTAAACAGGCTATATGTGAACAGATTTATGTATTATCTTCTTATACATTATGTCTTCCCATCGAGTGTGTTGTGTATTCCATTCAATACACTTAAATTCTTTTAATTTCTTTCTCCTAAATTTTGTATCCTTTAGAACTCTACTCCAATAACCATCTATCCTTCTATCTTTCTTTTTTTGGTACTAGGGATTGAACTCAGGGGCACTTAATCACTGAGCCACATCCCTTGTCCTTTTCATTTTTTTTTTGTTGACAGACCTTTTTTTTTTTATTATTCATTTATTTATATGCAGTGCTAAGAATTGAATCCAGTGCCTTACCCATGCTAGGCAAGTGCTGTACCACTGAGCCAGAGGAAAAGGGACACTCATCCATCATAATTTAAGAAGGACCAAGTATGAGATAATGTTTAAGAGAGCATACCTAATTGGAGAAACTCAGTAGATTAGCCAAACAGTACTCCTCCTTGTGTTTTTATTTTGAGATAGGGTCTTGCCAAGTTGCTTAGTCTTGCTACATTGCTGAAGCTGGCTTTGAACTTTCGATCCTCCTGCCTCAGCCTCCTAAGCCATTGGGATTATAGACATGCACCACTTTGTCTGGCTTCCAATATCTTTCTTTATAAAGATACATACTCTGATTACTCTAGAGTAAAGCAATCCTTCCTTCTCCTTTAAATAGTTAAGCTATTTCCTTTGTATCATTTATTTTACAGTATGTCAGGCATGCCCTAGAACTTCATTTCTATAATCTCCATCCATTCAAATTCTATTGAATGATTACTGAATAACAAATAATGACTTAGCTTCTAGCAACACAGCAGGGAACAAGCCAGTTATAGGATCTACCCTTATGAAGGTTTTAATGCTCTGAAGTCTAGTTTGATTCCTGTATTTATTACTTAAATGAACGTATTAAGCAATTATTTAACCCAGTGTGTATGTTCCCAAATCCACCCATTAATGAGAGCATAAGTAAAAGAAAACAAGGGAAGATTTTTTTTTTTAAGATAGAGAGAAAGAGGAGAGACAGACAGACAGAGAGAGAATTTTTTTTAATATTTATTTTTTAGTTTTCAGTGGACACAACATCTTTGTTTGTATGTGGTACTGAGGATCGAACCCGGGCCGCACGCATGCCAGGCGAGCGCGCTACCGCTTGAGCCACATCCCCAGCCCAAGGGGAGATTTTCCAACAAAGGAAATACTAGGCATAATTGTATTCTGATGAGGACATCTAAGAGAAATCAAACAGAATGGAAGGAGGAGTCTGTGAGAGGACGGCAACAGATGGTAATCAGATCACAGTGTTAGGGATGAGCTATTGAGAGGAAAAGGGACACATATCCATCATAATTTGAAATAAAGATGGGTAAAATTGTAGCTGGATTTGTAGATTTGACGTGAAAAGCAGGTTAGATCCCTGGCTCAGAGTGAGGGTTGAAAGAAACATGAAGGTTTGAGGAGAAAGGACCAAGTATGAGATAAAGTTTAGGAGAGCATACCTAACTGGAGAAACTCAGTAGATTAGCCAAACAGTACTGAATGCTAATCTAAATTTAAATCTTGAATTTAAAGCGAAATCAGTCAACTTTATGGTATGATTTTTCTTCAGTATGATCAGTAAAAAATTTGGGTTCAAATACCGAGAAATAGGATTCCTCTAAGGTTGGTATCTCTTCAAGTGGATACAAAAGTTGAGGTTATTTCTAAAGGAATTACTTTAATGATCAACCATAATATGCAAACTAATGAAAAAAAGGGCAGGTAAAGCCAGGAGAGGCCTAAGGGATAAGAAAGTATTTGAAATCAGTGATATGGAAGTTTCTATGATGTGGAAGATTTGCAGTAGGAGTCTATCTTCCAACTAGCTATAGGAGTCCTGAGGACAAAGAAAGTCCCTTTATGTCTGTCCTAATAGATGTTTGCAAATACACGAGACAACTAATCCTTGCTGATTTAATTAGCTCACCTGGCATGTTACAGCTAGTGTATGACAGATCTGGGTCTTCCCAGTTCGGAATTCCCCAAACATCTCTGTGATAGATCCAGTTTCAATTCCACCTAAAAGCAACAAGAAGCACTTCTCAGAACAATAAAATGTTGAGACTACAATGAAACATTAGAAATGTTGTTGGAGCTCATCAGAAAGATGTTTTTATAACTTAGAAATTGAAATTTCAATAAGCAGTAACTTGTTAAACTTATTTTGAAATAATTATAGATTTATAGAGTTGCAAAGAAATGTACAGGGAGGTTCTGTGTACTCTTAATCTAGCCTATCAGAAAGTTGACACTGGTATAAGCTAGAGTTTGTTCAGATTTCTCCAGTTACACATGCACACACTTACATGACTGTACAGTTCCAGACAATTTTTTCCAATGTGCAGCTTCAAGTAACTACCATTAATAGTTGGGGGGTGATGGTGTACAACTGTAGTGTCAGCGACTTAGGAGGCTGAGGTACGAAAATTTTAAGGTTGAAATTAACTTTAGCAACTTGGTGAGACCCTCTCTCTCTCAAAAAAAAAAAAGAAAGAAAAAAGGGGGGTTACGGAAGGCTAAATGTTTACCTTGGTGGTAGAGCACATCTAGATTCAATTTCTAGTACTGGGGTGGGGTGGGGGTGGAGATGCACCAAAACAAACCCAAAAAAACCTACCACCACAACCAAGATACAAAACTGTATTGTTACAAATCAATAAGCAGCTATTTAAAAATGATACTACATAAAACTAAGTGTATCTTATATACCTAACATTGTAGTTTACATTTATATGTATTACTCATTTATTTTGAATAACCTATAATGTAAAAAGTCCTTTTATCCTCATTTTGGAGAAAACTGAGGTGTATAGATTTTAAATGATTTTCACCATGTAAATGCTGGGAGGGTGAGTTTGGAGAGAGGATGAACACTCAAATTTGAGCTTTATTCCAGAATCCATGGCATTTTGTACCCAAAGAAGGAAGAAAAGTTGAATGATGAGATAACAGGGAAAGAAGCAAGAACCAAATCTAATTTATAGCAGTTAGATAGCTACGCCTTCAAAAGTTCAAAAACCCTAGTTTTCCTTAAAGTCCTGAAGATTAGTGTGCATTACACTATTAGTATTAAAACAGAGTACTTTGGGAATGGTAGAACATATGAGGACCTACGTTCAATTCCCATCACCACCCATACCTAAGTACAAAGGCGATTTTTATTCAGCAAACTTTCAACCTTGTGGTAGAGTAGATCATAACTAGTTTTATTCCTTAAGCAGAGGAAGTTTATTGCCTGAATTATTTAACTTGAAGATAATTTTAGGGGCTGGAAGTGTAGCTCAGTGATAGAGGGCTTGCCTACACATGGGAAGCACTGGGTTTGATCCTCAGCACCGCATAAAAATACAAACAAAAGATAATTTTATTATTTTATAAGTCAAATTCCAACCCCCAAAGTTTTTTTTTTTTAAATTTTTTATTTGTTCTAATTAGTTATACATGACAGCAAAAGGCATTTCAACTCATTGTACACAAATGGAGCACAACTTCTCATTTTATCTGGCTGAACACCTAGCAGTCTTAATTCTTCAATGTGGATACTTCCCTTAAGTCTTAATCATATTGTAAGGGGGGTCCGGTGAAACATCGGAGGGAGAGACCACCCAAGAGACTGACTCCATGCAATTGGCAAAAGGGGATTTATTGAGGATCCATTCCAGCGCGCTGGGACTCTGTGCTCACTCAAGAAGGGAGAGCAGCCCAGAGCCCAGAGCAGAGTTCAAGCGGAGCTTAAATACACTTTTTGGAGAGG